TCAAATTTGCAAAAACAAGTGTCTAGTGAGTTCAAAATTGCAAGAACAAGTGTCTAGTGAGTTCAAAATTGCAAGAACAAGTGGCTAGCGTGTGCAAAATTGCAAGAACAAGTGCCTAGCGTGTGCAAAATTGCAAGAACAAGTGCCTAGCGTGTGCAAAATGACAAAAACAAGTGCCTAGCGTGTGCAAAATTGCAAGAACAAGTGCCTAGCGTGTGCAAAATTGCAAGAACAAGTGCCTAGCGTGTGCAAAATTGCAAGAAAAAGTGCCTAGTGTGTGCAAAATTGCAAGAACAAGTGCCTAGCGTGTGCAAAATTGCAAGAACAAGTGCCTAGCGTGTGCAAAATTGCAAGAACAAATGCCTAACGTGTGCAAAATTGCAAGAACAAGTGTCTAGTGAGTTCAAAATTGGAAGAACAAGTGCATAGCGTGTGCAAAATTGCAAAAACAAGGGCCTAGCGTGTGCAAAATTGCAAGAAAAAGTGCCTGGTGAGTGCAAAATTGCAAGAACAAGTGCCTAGCGTGTGCAAAATTGCAAGAACAAGTGTCTAGCGAGTGCAAAATTGCAAGAACAAGTGCCTAGCATGTACAAAATTGCAAGAACAAGTGCCTAGCGTGTGCAAAATTGCAAGAACAAGTGTTTGGTGAGTTCAAAATTGCAAGAACAAGTGCTTAGCGTGTGCAAAATTGCAAGAACAAGTGCCTAGCGTGTGCAAAATTGCAAAAACAAGGGCCTAGCGTGTGCAAAATTGCAAGAACAAGTGCCTGGTGAGTGCAAAATTGCAAGAACAAGTGCCTAGCGTGTGCAAAATTGCAAGAACAAGTGCCTAGCGTGTGCAAAATTGCAAGAACAAGTGCCTAGCGTGTGTGAAATTGCAAGAACAAGTGTCTAGTGAGTTCAAAATTGCAAGAACAAGTGCCTAGCGTGTGCAAAATTGCAAGAACAAGTGCCTAGCGTGTGCAAAATTGCAAGAACAAGTGCCTAGCGTGTGCAAAATTGCGAAAATAAGTGCCTAGCGTGTGCAAAATTGCAAGAACAAGTGTCTAGTGAGTTCAAAATTGCAAGAACAAGTGCCTAGCGTGTGCAAAATTGCAAGAACAAGTGCCTAGCGTGTGCAAAATTGCAAGAACAAGTGTCTAGTGAGTTCAAATTTGCAAAAACAAGTGTCTAGTGAGTTCAAAATTGCAAGAACAAGTGTCTAGTGAGTTCAAAATTGCAAGAACAAGTGGCTAGCGTGTGCAAAATTGCAAGAACAAGTGCCTAGCGTGTGCAAAATTGCAAGAACAAGTGCCTAGCGTGTGCAAAATGACAAAAACAAGTGCCTAGCGTGTGCAAAATTGCAAGAACAAGTGCCTAGCGTGTGCAAAATTGCAAGAACAAGTGCCTAGCGTGTGCAAAATTGCAAGAAAAAGTGCCTAGTGTGTGCAAAATTGCAAGAACAAGGGCCTAGAGTGTGCAAAATTGCAAGAACAAGTGCCTAGCGTGTGCAAAATTGCAAGAACAAATGCCTAACGTGTGCAAAATTGCAAGAACAAGTGTCTAGTGAGTTCAAAATTGGAAGAACAAGTGCCTAGCGTGTGCCCGAAAAAACATTGTTTCGGACGTTTGTAGTCCCGAGAAGCGAAAACAGCCGCACCTGTGCAGATCATGGAGCAGGCAATTTTCCGTCGTAGAGGTCCCTGACCAATCACTCTCGCTTCACTCCCAGGCACTTTCCAACATGATTACGGGTCCGTCAACTCATAATTACATTGAGAAAAAACCTCGTTTCGGACGTTTGTAGCCTCGAGAAGCGAAAACAGCCGCACCTGTGCAGATCATGGAGCAGGCAATTTTCCGTCATGGAGGTCCCTGACCAATCGCTCTCGCTTCACTCCCATGCACTTTCCAGCATAATTGCGGGTCCGCGAACTCGCAACTGACGTCTATACATTGAAGCAAAAACGCTCGTTTCGGACGTTTGTAGCCCCGAGAAGCGAAAACAGCCGCACCTGTGCAGATCATGGAGCAGGCAATTTTCCGTCGTGGAGGTCCTTGACCAATCGCTCTCGCTTCACTCCCAGGCACTTTCCAGCATAATTGTGGGTTTGCAAATTCACAAATGACGTCTTTACATTGAAGAAAAAAACCTCGTTTCGGACGTTTGTAGCCCCGAGAAGCGAAAACAGCCGCACCTGTGCAGATCATGGAGCATGCAATTTTCCGTCGTGGAGGTCCCTGACCAATCGCTCTCGCTTCACTCCCAAGAACTTTCAAGCACTATTACGGGTTTTTGAACTCACAAATGCCGTCTTTATGTCAGTAAAGAAAGGATTGTGAGTACAAATATGAAACCCTAATGTTGTGACCCCCCTATAGGCTAACCCACTACAGCCTACACAAACACAACACATATAATGTTTGACACACCCCCATAGGCAAAGTGGGGGAGACCTAGGGGTCACAAGACCAGTCAAGGCAAAGCAAGGCAACAACAAGCTCAGGGTGGATCTCAAGGATACCACACAAATTCCGAGCACAAGCTAGTGGTCACAAGACCAGTTCACATGCAGGTTTATAACAGAGCATGAGATACAGTGATCACAACCTAGCAAGAGTAAACATGCAGGTAGATATATATATATATATAGTGATCACAGTACAAGCAAGGTCAAGAGGTAAGTAAGTGAGGTCCAGTAGGCACAAGGCCTAGCAGAGTGCAGAAGCGCTGATGGTCACAAGGCGGAAGCGCCTTGGTGAACACATCAGCAAGGTTGGCCTCAGTGGCCACGTAACGCAGACAAAGCTGACCGCGCTGCTGCAGCTCTCGAGCAAGGAAGTACCGCAGGGCGATGTGCTTCGTTCTGTGCTCCAGTCTGTGCTCCTCACACAAGGCAATGGCAGCCTGGTTGTCGACGTACAGCACTGGAGGAGAACGAGGCCGCTCACCCAAGTCGGTCAGCAGGTAGGTCAGCCAGCGAAGCTCCTGGGCAGCCATGGCTGTGGCGTAGATCTCAGCCTCACAACTGGAGCTGAGAACAGAAGAAGAGCGTGTAGAACGCCAAGAAACTGAGCCGGAGCCAAGGCTGAAGGTGTAACCCTGAGACGACCGCTGAGTAGCCTGGTCGTCCGCCCAAGAAGCGTCTGAGTGTCCAGTAAGTACAACTCGGTCTCGCCCTCCAAGCACTAGCCCCATGCCCGACGTACTGCACAAGTAGCGCAACACCCTCTTAGCGGCATCCATGTGCTCCTTTCTGTGACGGCCAAGAGCGACATAGCGTGCAAGGATGCTAAGAGGGTATGCAAGGTCAGGTCGAGTGTAGGTCATCAGGTACATGAGGCAGCCCACAAGCTCTGGATACGGGCCACTCGGCTCTACGGACTCATCCGAAGGCAGAGCTGAGAGCGAGTGACCGGTAGGCAGAGGAGTGGACTGAGGCGAGGAGTACGTGAAGCGGAAGCGCTGAAGGATCTGCTGCACCATGTGTGACTGAGTCAAGGTGATGGTGCGCCGTGCTCTGTCCCGGGTGATCCGCAAGCCAAGATAGCTTGTCAGTTCACCCAGGTCTGTACACGTGTGTCTCCTCTGCAGCTCCGACTTCACGTGGGCAAGTGCCGCGGTGTCAGCAGTGGCAAAGACCAAGTCGTCGACGTACACGAGGATGTAGAACGGCGGCAGTGAGGTGTCTGTGCGTAGAAACAGTGACGGGTCAGCAGTAGAGGGAGCGAACCCAAGAGCCGCAAGTGTCGTCCTCAGTGTGTCGTGCCACTCACGCGGTGCCTGGCGGAGACCGTAGACCGGCCGCTAAAGCCTCCACTGGGTACCAGGAGGAACCGACCCAGTGAAGCCAGGAGGGCGGCGCAGCCAGATCTCCTCGTGCAGGCTGCCCTGCAAGAAAGCAGTGCTGAAGTCAAGTGAGTGAAGCTCGTAGTCGCGCTGAGCGGCTATGTGCAGCAGCACCCGAAGAGTGGTCATCTTCGGGGTGGGGGAGAAGGTCTGAAAGAAGTCAACTCCCTCTCGCTGACTGAAGCCTCGAGCCACATAGCGCGCCTTGAAGACAGGAGGAGAACCCGGTGGCCGCTTCACCCTGAAAATCCACATGCCACTGACGATGTTCGCCCCAGGTGGGGGAACCTCGTCGACGTAGGTGCGTGTGGACTTCCAGGAAGCCATCTCTGCGTCCATGGCTGTCTGCCACTGAGAGGAGTAGGGACCCGCCATCGCCTCAGCGTAAGTGCGCGGGGTCGGGATGTCTGGTGCATCCGGGTCTCCCTCAGGGGCAACTAGCATGGACACGAGGTGGGGTAAAGCAGCAGCAAAGCACTGGAACTCCTCCTGTCTGTCCTCAAGGACGTCCGTGCCAAGAGCACACTCACCCCCGACGGACGGAGGACAGACAGACTCAGACTCAGACTCAGCAACAAGGCTAGTGGCATAGTCTAGACGACACCGGGCAGCAAAGTCGATCAACTCAGCGACTAGAGCAGACGCAGCAGAGGACTCAAAGGCAGGGTCAGTGACAACAGTAGCGAGGAGACGGGTGACAGTGGGACTGGCAGCACGACGGGAGTCAGACTCCGGGTCAGGAAGAGTAGGCAGAGAGGAAGCAGGAGGAGACGGTAGCGGGACACGCTGAGGAGCAGTGGAGGGACGCAGAGTCATGTAGTGAGTGCCAGGGACAGGAGGAGGACGTGTTAAGAGAACTAGGCAAGAATGATGCATTGAATGGAAGAATTGGGTACAAGTAGCAAACCCTAGTTGGGGTTGTACCCCATATCAGCTACCCCACTACAGCCTACCAACATATAACACATTACAATTTAACACACCCCCATAGGCAAAGTGGGGGAGAACAAAGGGTCACAAGACCAGTCCAGCAAAGCAACGCAAGCCCAGGGTGGATCACAAAGTCACCACACTCCGAGCACAAGCAAAGGCCACAAGGCCAGTTCACATGCAGTGCTAGATATAGTACAAGACAAGCAACAAGATATATATAAAGTACAGTACAAAGAATGTCAAGCAGTGAGCAAGTGAGGAAACGTGGACACAAGGCCTAAAGAAGTACAGTGCCGCTGATGATCACTAGGCGGGAGCGCCTTGGTGAAGATATCAGCAGTGTTGGCCTTCGAGTCCACGTACACAAGCCGAAGCTGACCTCGCTGCTGCAGCTCTCGAGCAAGAAAGTAGCGAAGAGCAATGTGCTTCGTCCTGTGCTCCAGTCTGTGCTCCTGACACAAGGCAAGGGCCGCCTTGTTGTCGCCGTACAGAACTGGAGGAGAACTAGGCCGCTCTCCCAAGTCAGTCAGCAGGTAGGTGAGCCAGCGTAACTCCTGTGCAGCCATGGCCGTGGCGTAGATCTCAGCCTCACAACTAGAGCTGAGAACAGAAGAAGAACGGGTGGACCGCCACGAGACAGAACCAGAGCCAAGGCTGAAGGTGTAACCCTGCGACAATCGCTGCGTAGCCAAGTCGTCCACCCAAGAAGCGTCCGAGTGACCAGTGAGAACAACTCTGTCGTGTCCTCCAAGCACCAGCCCCATGCCTGATGTACTGCACAAGTAACGCAGCACCCTCTTAGCAGCCTCCCAGTGCTCTCTCCTGTGTCTCCCAGGCGCAACGTAACGAGCAAGGATGCTAAGAGGGTACGCGAGGTCAGGTCGTGTGCAAGTCATCAGGTACATGAGGCAGCCTACAAGCTCTGGGTACGGGCCACTCGGCTCTACGGACTCGTCCGAAGGTGGAGCTGAGAGCGAGTGGCCTGTGGTGAGGAGAACTGGAAGCCGAAGCGCTGAAGGACCTGCTGCACCATGTGTGACTGAGTCAGGGTGATGGTGCGGCGAGCTCTGTCCCGGGTGATCTGCAAGCCAAGGTAGCTACGCAGTTCACCCAGGTCAGTGCAGGTGTGTCTCTTCTGCAGCTCCGACTTCACACGAGCGAGTGCCTCAGTGTCAGCAGTAGCAAAGACCAAGTCGTCGACGTACACGAGAATGTAGAACGGCGGCAGCGACGTGTCTGTGCGCAGAAACAGCGACGGGTCAGCAGTAGACGGCGCGAACCCAAGAGCCGCAAGTGTAGTCCTCAGTGTGTCGTGCCACTCACGTGGCGCCTGGCGGAGACCGTAGACTGGCCGGCGGAGGCTCCACTGGGTACCAGGAGGAAACGACCCAGTAAAGCCAGGTGGGCGGCGCAGCCAGATCTCCTCGTGCAGGCTGCCCTGCAGGAACGCTGTGCTGAAGTCAAGAGAGTGAAGCTCGTAGTCACGCTGAGCAGCAACGTGCAGCAGAACCCGAAGAGTGGTCATCTTCGGGGTGGGGGAGAAGGTCTGGAAGAAGTCAACCCCCTGACGCTGACTGAAGCCTCTAGCAACGTAACGAGCCTTGAAGACAGGCGGAGAACCTGGCGGCCGCTTCACCCTTAAAATCCACATGCCATCGACGATGTTCGCCCCAGGAGGGGGAACGTCGTCGACGTAGGTGCCTGTGGACTTCCAGGATGCCATCTCTGCGTCCATGGCTGTCTGCCACTGAGAGGAGTAGGGACCCGAGATCGCCTTTGTGTAAGTGCGCGGAGTGGGGATCTCTAGTGCATCCGGGTCACCCTCAGGGGCAAGCAACCAGGCCACGAGATGAGGTACAGCAGCCGCGAGAGAGTCAAAGTCCTCCTGCCTGTCCTCAAGGACGTCCGTGCCAAGAGCACACTCACCCCCGACGGACGGAGGACAGACAGACGCAGACTCAGACGCAGCAACCAGGCTAGCAGCGTAGTCTAGACGACAGGCAGCAGCAAAGTCAACCAACTCAGCGACCAGAGCAGACGCAGCCGAGGACTCAAATGTAGGGTCAGTGACAACAGTAGCTAGGAGACGCGTGACAGTAGGGTGCTCAGCACGATACCGGTCAGACTCAGGGTCCGGAACGGCAGGCAAAGAGGACGCAGGAGGAGACGGTAGAGGGACACGCTGAGGAGCAGTAGATGGACGCAGAGTCATGTAGTGAGTGCCGGGGACAGGAGGAGGACGCTCACGACGGACACGACGACCAGTGCGAGCAGTACGAACAGGCGACGCAGGACGAGACTCAGGCTCACGACGCTCTGTAAGACCTCCTGTGGGACCAGTGTAAGGAGAGGGAGCAGGGAGAGGCGAGGTAGGCGGTAACTGTGACTGCGGCTGGACAGGCGGAGGACACTCTACGGAGGGAGGAGGACAAGGAGGAGGAGCCTGCCCAAGAACCTGCTGAAGGAGCGGTACGAAGTACGGTCGCGGCCGCGCAGCGTCTCCAGAAGCAGAAGAGACTCCAGCGGCCGGGTCCTCAGTACCAGCAGGAGCTCCAACGACCGAGTCCTCAGCACCAGCAGCAGCTCCACCAGGTGGGTCCGCAGCACCAGCAGCAGCGCCACCCCGAGGGTCCGCAGCACCGCTAGGAAAAGCACCCCCAGAGTCGGCAGCTCCAACTCCGCTAGCACCGCCAGCTCCAGAGTCCCCAGCTCCAGCAGCTCCAGTCGCAGCGCTCCCAGAACAACCAGTCCCGGCAGCTCCAGCACCCCCAGTACGAGCACCCCTAGGACGAGCAGCTCCAGCACCCCCAACTCCAGCCGAGCCACAAGGACGGCGAAAGCGCCGGACGTACCAGTCACGAAGCTGCTGCGGTGTGAGAGACTGCTCAGCACCCCGAACCGGAGCACCCCCAGACGCAGCAACCCGAGGCTCCGTAGGCTCAGTAGCAGCACCCCCAGGCTCAGTACCCGCAGGCACAGCACTCCCAGTCACAGTACCCCCAGGCTAAGCACCCCCAGGCGCCGAACTCCCAGACGCAGCAACCCCAGGCTCCGTACACGCAGGCTCAGCACCCCCAGTCGTAGCACCCCCAGGCTCAGCACCCCCAGGCGCCGAACTCCCAGGCACAGTACCCTCAGCTCCAGCACCCGCAGTCCCAGCACTCCCAGGCCCAGCACCCGCAGGCTCAGCACCCCCAGGCTCAGCACTCCCAGCAGCACCACCTGCAGCAGCACCTGAGTCACCTGTGACCTCGACAGGCTCAGCGACGGGAGGAGGGTCTACCTGAGAGACACCTGAAGGGGCAGGACCCTGAGGGGGAAGGGGGTCTACCGGAGGGGGACCAGGAGCAAGGAAAAGCGGCGGGGGAGGGAGGGGGGCAGTGCGGTAGGGGAAGAGACAGTAAAAGGGAACCGACTCGTCAAAGGTGACGTCCTGAGAGGCGAAGACCCGGCGAGAGGTGGGGTGGTAAAACTGCCAGCCCGGCGCGTCAGGGACAAAGCCAAGGAAGACACAGGGAAGCGTGCGGGAGGAGAGCTTGTCCGCGGACGTATCGCGGACAAGGGCACGAGCACCCCACACCCGGAAGCGCGACGCATCACCAACCTCCCCCGTCCAACGCAGTGTGGGCGAGGTCTCCGGCAAGGAGACACAGGGCCAGAGGTTGAGCTGATGCGCAGCGTACCGGACAGCAAACGGCCACAGAAAATGGGGAGCCGCCGCGTGGACCAAGGAGGTACGAGCGACCTCCATGACCAGGCCAATGCGGCGCTCAGCAACCCCATTCTGCTGTGGGGAGTCCGGAAGCGTGAAGGTCTGCTCGATGCCCTCCGCCTGACAGAAGGTCCTCAAGAGATCGGAGGAAAACTCACCACCTCTGTCAGAATGCAGACGCAGGACAGGAAGATCCGTCCGGAAACGGCGGCGGAGCTGGAGACAAACTGTGCGGATCCAAGGGATCAGAACAGCAGGGACCTCACCCTTGGTGCGCAAGGGGAAGACCGTGGTGTAACGCGAGTAGTCGTCGACAACCAGCAAAAAGTACCGCTCACCGCCCTGGCCACGAACGCGGGCTGGGCCCCACACGTCCAGGTGGAGGGTCTGCAGAGGAGCCTCTGTCGGGGGGAACGAGGAGGAGTGAGGAGCGGCGCGCTGCCGTCCCTCGACGCAAGGAAGGCAAGGCGGCGCAGGCGAGGCAGGGAGGGGAGGGAGGGACCTGGGAAGACCAGACACAAGGCAGCGACGGTGCATGCCACGGAGGCGTGGCAAGGAGGGGTGACCCAGGCGGTGGTGCCAGAGAAGAGTCTGGTGCGACAGGGAACGACACTCACAGGCGTGGGCCACCAGACCTGACGCGGACACCTGACCGACAGCAGCAACCTGAGGAGACGCAGTGGTCAGTGTGTAGAGACTCGACCCCGGCCGACGGGTAAACGTAGCCAGGTGACGGCCGGTCCTGGAGCACGTGCAGATCGCCACACGCTGTCCTCCAGGGGTAAAGGTGTCAACCCACTGATCCTGGATGACAGCGTTGCTCACCAGGTTCGTCGAGAACAAGGGGAGGTGGAAACCTGACAACGAGCCAGACGGAACCGCCGGACAAGGGAGCACAGTGGTGGACTGGGCAAGGACTGGGCCCCCAGAGGGGTCAGCCAAGGAGACTGGGACCGGTGCAGGAAGCGGTGTGAGCTCAGTACTGTCACGAAAGAAACAGCGGGAAGCACCTGAGTCAAGGGTGAAGGTGTGACAGGCCTCAGCCGGTGCGGTACCTGAGAGAGCAGTCTCTGTGGGTGCTGTACCTGAGAGAGCAGACTCGCAAACAGCCGGGACAGCACTGGAGGGGGCAAGTACAGGGGGCACCATACCAGAGAGAGCAGACTCACTAGTACCCAGGGCAGCGGGCTCTATACCTGGGTCAGGCGGCACACACAAGTAACAGTCTCCCTCGGCACTAACAGTCAATGCATACATGGCAGCAATAATAGCATCATAGTCAAGAGCAAAGATATCAACACCAGCCCTCATGAGCTCAGCCCAGCGGGGGCGCTCAACATCCTCGCCCATCTCCTCACGCCAAGCGTCGTCAAGGCGGGAGAAGCAGCGGTACGGGGTGTGGAACCTCCCACACGTCTGTCCCTTGCGGTCACCTGTGCGAATGACATAGGAACAGCGGCCATTGCCCCCCGACGTCCCACGCTGAGCAAGCCACTCACGAAGCTGCTGGGTCGTCTGGGGACGCTGCTGCTGCTGGGAGCTCTGGCCCGAGCCAGTGCCTCCACTCCGACCTCCGCCACCACCACTACCTCCGCTCCGACCGCCACCGCCGCCGCCGCCACCGCCGCCGCCGCCGCCACCGCCGCCGCCGCCACCACCGCCACCGCTCCCTCCGCCGCCCCCGCCTCCGCTGCCGACCCCACTCCCACCAGCACTCCCGCCACCGCTCCCTCCAGCACCGCCTCCCCCCCCACCTCCCCCACCTCCTCCCCCCCCAGCGCCACCCCCGCCACCCTTGCCCCCCTTGCCCTTGCCGGTGCGGCGCCTCCCACCAGGAGCAGAAGCAGCGCCAGCAGACTCAGCACCAAGGAAGTCAACAGCAGCAGCAGTAGCGTAGGAGGGAGCGAGGGGAGAGGGAGAACACCCCTCAAAGATGGGGGTGCGAGGAGCGCCTCAAGCAGCACCGACAGCTACAATGCTCTTTTCGGCCGCTAGCAGCTGCTCCTCTAGGAGGGCGACTGTGAGCTCAGTGGGACAGCGAGCAAGGAAGTGGTCTCGAACTGAGCTGAGGGTGTCAGGGAGTCGGGTGACTATGAAGTGGAGTGTCCAGTACAGTGGAGGGGGGTTCTTAGCGCAGAACTCGGTGGGAAGGGCAGCACGCAGGCGAGCATCACTAGTGCGAAGGTGGGTGATAAGATCGGCGACTGTAGCAAAGGCGGACAGATCAGGGAACAGGTACGGCAGCATGAGGCGGCTAAGCTCGGCTGTGGCAGGCGAGGAGTAGCGAGCAACGACAGCATCGTACAGGGCCTTAGCGGATTTGCAGTCGCCAAAATGCTCTAGCTCAGCTAGCGGGAGGTGACTGCGAATGGCTAGGCGAGCAGCTGCGTCACGAGTCTGCCAGTGGGAACGAACACTAAGCTCAGCTGTGGCAGGAGGGGCAGGTGCAGCACCAGACGCGTAATCATAGAGCGACACATGCTCCTTGCTATCGCTCAGAAGGAACAGCTGCAGGTCATCCAGCCAAGTGGCGAACTTCACAGGGCGGCCCTCAGCATCGAACGACAGCACGCGGATGGAAGCCATAGGGACAGTGCGATGGAGCAGGGAAGCTGCCGCAGCGCTGCAGGTAGGTAGCTCGGCGGGAAGCGCGGCGGGCGGGCGACTCGGCGAGCGGGCAGTGCGGGGGGCGGGCTACGAAGCGGGCAGCGCGGCGGGCAGGCGGCGCTGCAGGCGGGAAGTGCGGCGGGCGGGCTGCGAAGCGGGCAGCGGGGCGGGCGGGCGACGCGGCGAGCAGGCAGCGCGGCGGGCGGGCTGCGAAGCGGGCAGCGGGCGGGCGGGCGACGCTGCAAGCGGGCAGCGGGCGGGCGGGCGACGCTGCAAGCGGGCAGCGAGGCGGGCGGGCGACGCTGCGAGCGGGCAGCGCGGCGGGCGGGCCGCGAAGCGGGCAGCGGGCGGGCGGGCGACGCTGCAAGCGGGCAGCGCGGCGGGCGGGCGACGCTGCGAAGCGGGCAGCGGGCGAGCGGGCGACGCTGCGAGCGGGCAGCGCGGCGGGCGGGCTGCGAAACGGGCAGCGCGGTAGGCGGGCGACGCTGCGAGCGGGCGGCTCGGCGGGCGGGCGACGCTGCGAGGGGCGCGCGAGGGCGCTAGCGAGGGCGCGCGAGGGCGCTAACGAGAGGCGCGCGAGGGCGCTAACGAGGGCGCGCGAGGGCGCTAACGAGGGCGCGCGAGGGCGCTACGAGGCTAGGGCACGGGGTAGCGTGGTAACCGCATGCGAGCGGTGGTGGGCCCTTAAAAAAAAACGGTCGGTAGGTCCTAGGGACCTCCTGCTCTGAATACCATGTTAAGAGAACTAGGCAAGAATGATGCATTGAATGGAAGAATTGGGTACAAGTAGCAAACCCTAGTTGGGGTTGTACCCCATATCAGCTACCCCACTACAGCCTACCAACATATAACACATTACAATTTAACAGGACGCTCACGTGGGACACGACGACCAGTGCGAGTAGTACGAACAGGCGACGCAGGACGAGACTCAGGCTCACGACGCTCTGTAAGACCTCCCGTGGGACCAGTGTAAGGAGAGGGAGCAGGGAGAGGCGAGGCAGGCGGTAACTGTGACGGCGACTGGACACGCGGAGGACACTCTACTGAGGGAGGAGGACAGGGAGGAGGAGCCTGACCAAGAACCTGCTGAAGAAGTGGTACGAAGTACGGTCGCGGCCGCGTAGCGTCTCCAGAACCAGCAGAGACACCAGCGGCAGGGTCCTCAGCACCAGCAGCAGCTCCAACGTCCGGGTCCGCAGCACCAGCAGCAGCTCCACCGGCCGGGTCCTCAGCACCAGCAGCAGCACCACCGCTCGGGTCCTCAGCTCCAGCAGTAGCTCCAACGTCCGAGTCCTCAGCACCAGCAGCAGCTCCACCGCCCGGGTCCTCAGCACCAGCAGCAACTCCACCGCCCGGGTCCTCAGCACCAGCAGCAGCTCCACCGTCCGGGTCCTCAGCTCCAGCAGTAGCTCCAACGCCCGGGTCCTCAGCACCAGCAGCAGCGCCACCGCTCGGGTCCGCAGTACCAGCAGCAGCTCCAACGCCCGGGTCCTCAGCACCAGCAGCAGCCCCAACGCCCGGGTCCTCAGCACCAGTAGCAGCGCCACCCCCAAGGTCCGCAGCACCCGGAGGACCACTCCGAAGACTGCAGCGGCGTGTGTACCACTCTCGGATCTGCTGAATGGGGGGGAGCTCCTGGGTAGGAGGGGAAGTACCGGGACGAGCTCCAGCAGCACCTCTCCGGAGGCGGCAGTACTCGAGGTACCTCTCCTGCAGCTGCTGGGAGGAGAGGGCTCCTCCAGGTGTAGCACGCTCAGTCTCAGCACCCCCAGACTCAGCACCCCCAGACTCCGCACCCCCAGGCTCAGCACCTCCAGGCTCCGCACCGCCAGGCTCCGCACCTCCAGGCTCAACACCCCCAGGCTCCGCACCCCCAGACTCAGCACCCCCAGGCTCAGCACCCCCAGACGCAGGACGAGAGTCAACAGCTACCTCGACCGGCTCACCCGGGTCTACCTGGGACACACCTGAGGGAGCGGCACCCTGAGGGGGGAGGGGGTCTGGTACCTCAGCACCTGGAGCGAGGAAGAGAGGCAGTGCGGGGCAGTGCGGTAGGGGAAGAGGCGGTAGTAGGGGACGGACTCGTCAAAAGTGACGTCCTGAGAGGCCAGGACACGACGCGAGGTGGGGTGGTAGAACTGCCAACCAGGGGCGTCCGGGACAAAGCCAAGGAAGACGCAGGGGACAGCGCGACGGGAGAGCTTGTCCGCGGACGTGTCGCGGACAAAAGCTCGGGATCCCCAGACCCGAAAACGCGACGCATCGCCAGCCTCTCCCGTCCAACGCAGTGTCGGAGAAGTCTCGGGCAAGGAGACACGGGGCCAGAGGTTGAGCTGATGCGCAGCGTATCGGACCGCAAACGGCCACAGAAAATGGGGGGCAGCCGCATGACTCAAGGAGGTACGAGCGACCTCCATGACTAGACCAATGCGGCGCTCAGCAACCCCATTCTGCTGTGGAGAGGCCGGAAGCGTGAACGACTGCTCAATGCCCTCCTGCTGACAGAAGGCCTCCAGGAGGCCAGAGGAAAACTCCCCACCTCTGTCAGAGTGCAGACGCAGGACAGGAAAGTCGGAGCGGAAACGCCTGGTGAGCTGGAGACGAGATCTGCGGATCCAAGGGATCAAGACATCAGGTACGTCACCCTTGGCTCGCAAGGGGAAGACCGTGGTGTAGCGCGAGAAGTCGTCAACAACGAGCAGGAAGTACCGCTCCTGACCCTGTCCACGGACGCGGGCTGGGCCCCACACGTCCAAGTGGAGCGTCTGCAAGGGAGCAGTCGTCGGGGGAAAGGAGGAGGAGTGAGGAGCGGCGCGCTGCCGCCCCTCGACACAGGGAATACAGGGAGGAGCAGGCGAGTCGGGAAGGGGAGGGAGCACCCTGGGAAGACCAGCAACAAGGTCCCGTTTGTGCATGGTCCGAAGGCGCTGCACAGACGGGTGACCAAGTCGGTGGTGCCAAAGGACAGTCTCATGCGCCAGAGAGCGACACGAGCAGGGGGCGGACAGCTGACCTGACGCAGACGCAGACGTAGACGCAGACGCAGCTACCTGAGGGGACTCAGTGGTCAGTGTGTACAGGTCCGACCCCGGCTCTCGAGTGAAAGTAGCCAGGTGGCGACCCGTCCGAGCACATGTGCAGTGTGTCACGCGCTCGTAGGCAGGGGTGAACTGGTGAACACCCGAGTCCTGGAGCGCACAACCCGCCACCAAGTTCGTAGAGAACGAGGGGAGGTAGAGACCTGAAAGCGTGCCGGACGGGACCGCAGGACAAGGAAGAACAGTGGAGGAGGTCGCAATGACCGGACCCCAAGAGGGGTCAGCAAGGGAGACAGCAACTGGCCGAGCGAGTGGCTCAAGGACAGTGCGGTCACGAAAGAAAGAGCGAGAGGCACCTGAGTCCAGTGTGAAGGTGTGCAGTGCTGCAGTCAACTCAGTACCAGGGGGCACGGACGCACTAGCACCTAGGGCAGCAGCCTCACCAGGACCTGTGGGAGCAGACGCACTAGCACCTAGAGCGGCAGCCGGACTGGCCTGAATGCCCGGGTCGGGCGGAACACGCAAGTACTGAGCACCCTCTCCACTAATAGACATGGCATACATGGCAGTGAGAATAGCATCAAAGTCTAGAGCCCAAATATCAACACCCCTCTTTTCCAGACCCCTCTTTTCCAGATCAGCCCAGCGCGGCAGCTCAGCGGCATCAGGAAACTGGGTGCGCCACGCGTCGTTAAGGCGCGCGAAGCAGCGGTGCGTGGGGTGCGGCCTCCCACACTGCTGGCCGCTGCGGTCACCTGTGCGAATGACGTACGTGCAGGTAAAGCCACGCTGCGCATACCACTCACGGGCGGCCTGAAGCGTCGGGGCGGGCTGCTGACTCGGGCCTCCGCCAGTGCCTCCACGACCACCACCGCCACCACCACCGCCTCGGCCACCTCCACCCCCTGCAGCCGCCACGACCACCTCCACCTCCGCTGCCGCCTCCACCCCTGCCACCGCTCCCGCCGCTGCTGTCTCCTCCCCCACTGCCGCCACTAGCCTCCCCAGTCGCGCCTCCACTCCCACCGCCTCCACCCCCACCTCCTCCGCCACCACCCCCACCCCTGCCCTTCCTTGTTCCTGCGGCGCCCATCGAAGCAGACGCGGTCCCAACCTTCTCAGCACCAAGAAGGTCGACAGCAGCAGCAGAGGCGACAGAGGGGAGGAGGGGGGAAGGGGAACACCCCTCGAAGAACGGGGTGCGGGGGTCGCCACGAGAGGTGCCTACAGCGACGATGCTCGCCTCAGCTGCAAGCAGTTCCTTCTCGAGGAGGGCAACAGTGAGCTCAGTGGGGGAGCGAGAGAGGAAGTGGTCCCTGACTGCGCGCAGAGAGTCAGGGAGGCGGGTGACGATGTGGTAGAGAGTGATCCAGAGCGGGGGGGGTTGCTAGTGAGAAACTCGGCAGGCATAGCAGCGCGAAAGCGGGCCTCACTAGTCTTAAGGTGGGTGATGAGGTCTGCGACAGTGTGAAAGGAGGCTAGGTCGGGGAACAGGTAGGGGAGAGTGAGGCGGCCTAGCGTAGCAGAAGCGGGTGAGGAGTAACGGGCAACTACAGCGGTGTAGAGGTCCTTAGCAGTCTTGCACTGGCCGAAGTGCTCGCGCTCGTCTAGCGGCAGGGAGTTGCAAATAGCAAAGCGAGCGTGCGCATCACGAGTCTGCCACTGAGAGCGTAGAGTGCTGTCAGCAGACGTGTCAGGGGCAGTAGCATGGCCTAGGGCGTGGTCGTACAGCGAGATGTCTTCTTTGGCAGTGAGCTGTAGGAACAGGTGCAGGTCATCTAGCCAGGTTTCGAACTTCACCGGACGGCCCTCGGCATCGAAAGCTAGAACGGGAGGACTAGCCATAGTGACAGTAGTAGGAGTAGGAACTAGGCCGCTGGAAAGGTGTGCGTAGGGTCAACGGGGCCGGCGGGGCCGCTAGGTAAGGCGCGGGCGGGGTCGACTGTCCGTAGTGGCACACGAGCGGCAGTAGTAGGGAGCGTGGCAGCAGGAGCTGCAACGGCGCACTGGTGGCAGCTGCAGCGGCAGCAGTGTGCGCGGTAGGTAGAAAAAACAGTGGGAGCGAGCGCCTCGCGGGCGGCGGCTGCAGAAGCGCACGGGCGGCAGCGGCTGCGAGCGGCGGCGCACAGGCGGCAGCAGTGCACGTGCGGCGACGGCAGGAGGCGGCGGTGCGCAAGCAGCAGCGGAAGCAGCGCACGGGCGGCAGCTGCGTATGCGCACGTGCGGCAGTGGCAGCGGCGCACGGGCGGCTACGGGCAGCGGGGCGTGCGCGAGCAGGCGACGAGCGGCTGCGGGGCGTGCGCGAGCAGGCGACGGGCGGCTGCGGGGTGTGCGCGAGCAGGAGGCGACGGGGCTGCTGACGTGCGGCCCTCTGCGACGGCGGGCTGCGGGCCTGCGGGGCGTGCGCGAGCAGGCGACGGGCGGCTGCAGCAGCGGGTGCGTCAGCGTGGCGCACAGGGCAGCGGCGGGCAGTGCGCGAGGCCACGAGGCGCACGGGCAGCAGCGCAAAGGCGCGCGGGCAGCGGGAGGCAAGTGCGACGGCCGCGCGCGAAGAAAATAAAGCGCGCGCGGGCAGCTGGCGGGGCGCACGCGTGAAAACGGCCGCACATGTGTAGATCATGGAGCAGACAATTTTCGGTCATGGAGGTCCCTGACCATCGCGCTCTCGCTTCACTCCTAGGCAATTTTCAGCATATTTGCAGGTCCGCGAACTCACAAATGACATCTTTACATTGAAGAAAAAACCTCGTTTCGGACGTTTGGTATTCCGAGAAGCGAAAACACAGCCGCACCTGTGTAGATCATTGAGCAGGCAATTTTCCGTCGTGGAGGTCTCTGACCAATCGCTCTCGCTTTACTCCCAGGAACTTTACAGCAAAATTGCGGGATCCCAAACTCACAAATGACATCTTTACATTGAAGAAAAAACCTCGTTTTGGACGTTTGTAGTTCCGGAAGCGAAAACAGCCGCACCTGTGCAGATCATTGAGCAGGCAATTTTCCGTCGTTGAGGTCCCTGACCAATCGCTCTCGCTTCACTCCCAGGAACTTTCCAGCAAAATTGCAGGATCCCAAACTCACAAATGACATCTTTACATTGAAGAAAAAACCTCGTTTCTGACGTTTGTAGCCCCGAGAAGCAAAATAACCGCACCTGCGCAGATCATGGAGCAGGCAATTTTCCGTCGTGGAGGTCCCTGACCAATCGCTCTCGCTTCACTCCCAGACACTTTCCAGCATAATTGCAGGTCCGCGAACTTACAAATGACGTCTTTACATTGAAGAAAAAACCTCGTTTCGGACGTTTGTAGCCCCGAGAACGAAACAGCTGCAACCTGTCCAGATCATGGAGCAGACACTTTTTCCGTCGTGGAGGTCCCTGACCAATCGATCTCGCTTCACTCCCAGGCACTTTCCAGCATAATTACGGGTCTGCGAACTCACAAATGGCGTCTTTACATTGAAGGAAAAACCTCGTTTCGGACGTTTGTAGCCCCGAGAAGCGAAAATAGCCGCACACGCGTGCACATCATGCAGCAGGCAATTTTGTCCGTCGTGGAGGTCCCTGACCAATCGCTCTCCGCTTCCCTCTCAGGCACTTTCCAGCAGAATTGCGGGTCCGCGAACTCACAAATGACGTCTTTACATTGAAGAAAAACGCGGTTTCGGACGTTTGTAGCCCCGAGAAGCGAAAACAGCTGCACCTGTGCAGATCATGGAGCAGGCAATTTTCCGTCGTGGAGGA